CAGAGAATATTTGTTTTCGACATAACTTCCTTCATTTAAAAATAGACACTTCAAGTTTTCTTTAGATATATTTAAGAAAAAAAAGTGATCGTTCAAGTTGCTGTTTTAATACTTATGTAATTTTTCAGTCAATATTAAATTAATGAAAGAACTATGAGTTTCACTTGGTAGTGTGTTGTTTAGGTTTGATAACTTGAAAAGTAAGATAAACTTGAAAGTAACTTGAAAGTAAAGTAATTAGTAATCAGTAATGTAATCAAATTATCATTCAGCCAAAAATAAGACCATTAGTGTCCTGTAGCCACAGCATGTCATTTGGCATGGCAGTCCACTCCAGAATCTGTCCACTGATTTTTACACTGTTTACTATCAGATCCTCCTGTCAACCTTCATGGCAAAGGGCATTTTTAGGAACCACATTTCAATGGTTCAAGTCTTACCTCCTCTGAGGTAGATGCTTCAGGGTGTCTTGGAGGGGTGAGGTGTCCAAGTCGCAACATCTAGCTACTGGGGTGCCTCAAGGCTCAGTGCTTGGACCTCTTATCTTCTCCATCTGCACATCATCACTAAGATCTGTCACTCAGAAACATAGCTTTTCTTATCACTGCTATGCTAATGATACACAACTCTACCTCTCATTCCAGCTTGATGTGACCATAGCTTCTTGTTGGATGAAGGACCATCACTTTCAACTTAACCCAGCCAAGACAGAATTGCTTGTGATTTTGGCCAACCCAACGTTTCATCACAACTTCACCATACATTATAACTCATTCCAAGACAGCCAGGAACCTTGGAGTTGTGATTAATGATCAGTTGAACTTAACAGACCACACTGCTATAACTGCCTGATGCAGCAGATTTGCCTTAATACAACATTAGGAAGATCAGGCCCTTCCTGTCAGAACATGCTACACAACTCCTTGTTCTATCTAGGCTGGACTATTGCAATGCTCCCTGGACAGGTCTTCCAGCCAATTCTATCAAACCTCTGCAACTAATCCAGAATGCGGCAATGAGAGAGGTCTTTAATGAGCCAAAAAGAGTGCACATCACATGTCTGTTCATCACTTTGCAATGGTTGCCAATAACTAGTCGCATCAAATTGAAGGCACTGATGTTTGCCTACAGAACAACCACTGGCTTTGCACCCCAAACCTAAACTCACTACTTCAGACTTATGTGCCCTCCGGAGGCTTGTGTTCTGCATATAAACGGTGCATTGTTAAAGATGTAGGAAAGTATTTTTTCATGTCATGGCTACACACTTGGGTGTGCCTTGTATTACATTTATCCTTGTAAATATTTTTTTACGGGCCAGAAGGGTGTGTTTAGGCGTGTTTGTGCTGTTTAAAAAAAATATTCAATCAACTATCATAAACTATATATCATTTGAAAGATAAAACACTCAAGATCCATGTTCTGAGCTTGTTTTTTAAATAAATACACCAGAGAGGAAAGGATTAACATAAATGCTGAAGGACCGGCCATTTAAACATGTACAAAGTGAACGGGAGTCCTTACGTTTACTATCGCCTATAGTTCTGGCCAGCTCTGACTATTCCAAGAAACACCAGCACACATTTCAAGGTAAGGGTCCACTCTTCAAAATGCATCCCACTTTTTAATCCAAAACAATGAAAAAATAGGGGGAAAAACGAAAGATCCTCCTTTGTTTACATGAGCGATTCGAGTTATAGTTGTCGACAACGTTCATTTTCAAAGAAATATCGATTCTAATTCGTATTCCAGCGTTGAAGGAGAAGGAGCCAGTCAGTCCCTGCTGTGTCCCCTAGCACCTCACAGAAAAGATGGCATAATGTGGATGAGGATGACATTGGGCCTCCCAAGCCTGTGTTTAGGCCTGCTCATGAACTTGGGCCACAGTTGGTGACAACTGCATCATACACAGCACTGCAGTTGTTTCAGCTTTTCTTTTCTTCATCTGTGCTGCAAACCATCATTCAGCACACAAATGCCTATGGATCCAAAAATCAGCAGGGAAGAGACAAGCCATGGCATAACATCTCTGTAGAAGACTTGAAGTCTTACCTGGCACTTGTTGTGTACATGGGTCTTGTGAAGGTCTCTGCTGTGACTGATTATTGGAGGAGGTCTCAAAGCTATAGTGTTCCCCTTCCTGCTAAGATCATGTCTTGTAGGAAGTTTCTGAACATCACAAACGCTCTTCATCTTAACGATCCTCAGGATGATGAAGAAAATGAAAAAAAGAAGGGAACAGCAGCCTACGACCGCTTGGGGAAGATCAAGCCTCTCTATGACAACACGAGGGATGCCTGCAGAACATTTTTTCATCCAAATCAGAACATCTCCATGAGAGAATGGTGGCATCAAAGGCGAGGTCTGGACTCAAGCAATACATGAAGAACAAACCCACTAAATGGGGCTACAAGCTTTTTGTCTTGGCAGACTCACTAAGTGGTTACACCTATGAGTTCTTTGTGCATGCCATCTCAGAATGGGCTGAGCTATGAGTCTGTCATGTCACTCATAGATGAAAAGATGTTGGGCACTGGTTACAAGCTGTACATTGACAACATTTACACCAGTCCCATGCTTTTCAGAGACCTCCTCTCTAAGAGGATTTGGGCATGTGGCACCATTCGTCCAAACAGGATCGGTTTCCCAAAGACAACCACCAACAGACTGCCGCGGAATGCTCCACGAGGGTCCATGCGATGGCTCAGAGAGGATGAGCTGCTGTTTGTGGAATGGAAAGACACCCGGGAAGTACTGATGTGTTCTACATCCCACAAAGCATATGAAGGTGACACAGTGCAAAGGAGGGTGAAGAACAATGATGGGCAGTGGTCTCAAGTGCATGTGCCTATTCCAGGTGCTGTGCTGGACTACAACAGGTTCATGGGGGGAGTGGACCTGTCCGATGCCCTCATTGGATACTACAAAGTGCTCCACAAGACACGGAAGTGGTATAGGACCTTCTTTTACCACTTTGTAGATATTGCTGTTGTCAATGCCTTAATTTTGCATCAGCATCTGGCCAGAGCAGCTGCTCCTCAGGCTTCAAAAGTGGATTGCCACAATCCGAAGCACGTCACAGATGACAGCACTGCTGGACAGCTAAAGTGTAAGCTTTGCCATCAGAAGACACCAGTCGTGTGTGCAACCTGTGAGGTGCCACTGTGTTTTTTACCAAAACAGGACTGTTACAATGACTGGCATGAGCAGGGTGGGAAATATTAATTGTTTTTTTTTATCATGCGTGAACTGTTTTTAGTTTACATGTTACATTGTTCAAAAAGTTCAAATCTAATAGTTGTTCCAGAAATGTTTCCAAGTTTAGATGATACATCAGACCCTGAAAAATAGTTCTGAGGAGGGAGATGAAGGGAGGGAAGCCATTGCTGGTGTGAGACTGTAACAGCGAGGGATGCATGACCAGTAAGTTTTGATCCTGATTCTTTCTGTTATAGGGAGCTTTTGTGTTCCATCTAATGCACACATTAGAAAACAAGATTTCCTAGGCTTGAAACCCATAGCTTTAATTTATTCTAATTTCCTTACACACTTTTTGCTCTCTTTTTCCCTCTTATCTGCAGTGGGTGTCTTCTGAGTCGGCGCAGTTGAAGCAAGTGTGACAGGCTGGCATGAGGCAGTATAGGTTAGTTTTCACACATACACACACACACACACACACACACACACACGTGTATACACCGTGTTGCAAATTTGATTTGTTCTGCTTCCATACTTTCCCACTTTCCCGTCTTTCAGTGGCTTTGTTTTCCAGTCGGTTAGAGGACAAACCTTCTTAGTGACTGCCTCGAGTGTCTTCCTATACTTTGTAAAAGTTGCTTTAGTTTTTCAGTAACTGGATAATTATCATAATTAGCAGTTTACTGTTTTAGACTTACTTGAACGAAAAACTGTTACAGTTACAAATGCTGTAAAAAAATTATTTTGCATGTTCATCTGAAAGCACGTGATGAGGATTTCCTGCTGATTATAGAACCGGCTTTACTAACAAAATGTGCATGACAATCGCATTCGATTAATCGTGCAGCCCTACTTGTAATCGTGATAACTGATCTCTGGCTAATTTGGTTCTTCAAAACGAATTTGCGTATCTGATTAAAATATCTGGATTTAGTCGTCGCGTTCTCGTGTTCCCTGTAAAGGGCAGATGTATCGATACTCGAAACCACGATCAGCAATGCAGCGATTGGCTAGCGGCGAGACAGCAATGTAATGACGTCATAAAATTAAAAAAGACACCTGACGAAAAACGTGACACATTTCTGGACCTTTATAAGGAAACAGCCAAGCGAACAAAACTACATAAATGTTATGATAGATACTGTTTTTATTATTTTATATTTTTTACATGATTCCCAATTATTTAAATTCACGATTTCTAGTATTTGTACAGGTTTTATATTTTCAGTTCAATGTTGTAATTAACAATTCATGTAATTTTATCTTTGAAGCGGATTTGTTATGTGAAAGCATTAATTAAAATTTCTTTAGTATCTGCGTCTCCTGCAGTTCCATCAAGCCACTCCCACAATATCTGTCAGCACTCAAATTAATGCACGACTCTAGCATGTGTGTAAGACTCCAATACAATTATAAAGTTATTATTTTATCACGAATACATCTTTCAGTGAGTAAACCCGGCTGTGTCTATAGTATTAAAGATTACACAACATTATAATATTATTTTCAAATTCATTTTTTTATTATTATTTTAAATTGTCCCTGGATTAGTAGGATACTCTTGTAATAAAGTAACGGACAGATCATCAACAATCACATCCAGCTAACGGAGTTAGCGACGTATGAAGAACGGGCCCCAGATCCAGCCTCCACACCAGACTTTTTGTGAACTATAGTTGCAGTTTGCTCTAGGTTTTTTTCGTACTACACTTTTTTTTGGATTACTTAATTCATACCAGGTTTGTTTGTTTTTTTACATTATTTTTAAAAACATTTTTAAAAATGTTGAACTACAACATTACCTAATAGCAACCAAAATACGAAGAAAGGGCCCCGGGTGTCATCAGAGAGCGGTGATTCGAGCGATTCGACTCACTGAGTCATTTCAAGAAGCCATTGATTCAGTTGACTCGCCGTTTCTCCATCATCACTACTCGCCAGTGACTTATTGAGTGTTTATGATCAACTGGTTCACGGTAAAGATACCCAAATGAGACTCACCTTTCCTGTTGCTTGTGAATGGATGCACTGTACAAGTACAACATGTTAGAGAAAGCATTACAATGCTACATTCAATAACAACTCATTCGTTTTTACAGTTGCTGTAAAAACAACCAAATGGACTGAATGAGTCATATCTATTTAAACCATTTAAATGCTTTAAACTCACTAACCTTTCTTCACCAGAATCACATCAGATGCAGGAGCCTGGTGCAGCCCTATGATGTCACACCACAAAACCAAAATAAAAGTCCCGTTCACACGCTGATCTCTAAAATCAGAAAATGACACACAAATAATGTAAATAATAACATTTATGAGAACAGAGTTTATTTCTTGTTTATATATATATATATATATATGTTAAATTCATGTGCATGTTAAAATATTAGGAACTACAAATACAATTATTAATGGTGATTAATCGCATCCAAAATAAGTTTTTGTTTACATAATATGTGCGTGTACTGTGTATATTTATTATGTATATATCAAATACAAACACATACATGTATATATTTAAGAAAAATATATTATTGTATATAATTTATATGAATATAAATATGTACGCATTTTAAATATATATACTGTATGTGTGTGTATTTATATATACGTAATAAATATACACAGTACACACACATATATATTATGTAAACTATTTATTTTGAATGCGATTAATGGTGATTGATCTTTTCCCAGCACTAATAAAAATGAAATGTATTTAGTAAGTAACTTAGTTACTAGCACGATGGGAATGAGCAACAGATTGCATTTCTTTAGTATCTAACTTGGGTTAGTATCCGTCACATGCATGACATTTTTCAACTTTAGCTTATTTGTGTAATACTTTAATCACAAAAGTATTGCAAACATTTCTGAAAGGTCGTTTCGTTGCTTTGTAACATAGCTGGACAGTGTTGGGGATAGTTACTTTTAAAAGTAATTCATGACAACACTGCATTACTCTTTAAAAGAAAAACAAGTAATTTGATTACTTTTTATGGATTACGTTACTTTTGTGGTACTTTTTGTCACCTGGGCTGGATTATTTTATTTTGTTGTATATTTTTAGTAACTGTAAAGGCCCTTTGTGTATCGGTGAATAAATGCGAAAACAAAGTAACTTATTTGAAAAGGTAATCAGATATTTCATTGTAATTTTTACACAAACAAAGTGGTCATAAACATATTAGGACATAAACCATATTAATTTCTTGTACACAAAAGCCTATGTAACTCTCAAGCTATCCATGAGAATGTTGTGATCTATGCATAGCTTTGGAAAAATATAACTTTAGTGAGTACTGTTTCTGTTTTACAATGGGGCTTAGATCCTGACTGGTATTGTTCACAAATACAATTTTTCAGCATTGTTGAAAGGACAATCTTTTTAAAAATATTTTAGACCAGGGATGTCACAAATCTGCATAGTTTAGCTCAAACTCTAATTGAATCAATGTCTTCAAAATTACTTGAAAACTACAAGCAGATTGGATCTAAACTTTGCAGGACTGTGTCCCTCCACATGCGGAGTTTGACACTTCTTAATAAATGGCAGCGTCATTGTTGCTCTCTTTCCTTCTGTTGCTTTTAAACAGGGTTTAACTTGTATTTGTCTCTTTTCATCCTAGACCTGATGGCGCTGATAGAGGAGAGTAAAGATCGGTATAAGAATCATGATTTCAGTACTGAAGAAAAATCTTTTAGTTGTTCACAGACTGAAGAGACTTTGTCGCAAAAAACCCCTCAAAAGACTCGAATTAGAAAACGTGTCATCTGCTCAGAGTGTGGAAAGTGGATAAGCAATCAAAGAAACCTTGCTGTCCACATGAGGGTTCACACCGGAGAGAAGCCTTTCACCTGCCCTCAGTGTGGAAACAGTTTCACTCAGCAGGGAAGCTTTGTTAGACACATGAGAGTTCACACCGGAGAGAAGCCTTACAGCTGTGAACTGTGCGGAAAGAGCTTCTCAGCACAACTAAACCTTGACTATCACATGAACAGTCACACTGGTGAAAAGCCATTTTCATGGGATCACAGTGTGGAAAGCGCTTCAGACATAAAGCAACCATTAAAAATCACAAGAAGATTCATTCGAGACAGGAGCGTTTTATATGTCGTCAGTGTGGAAGGAGTTTCACAGACGCAAATCACCTTAAGAATCACGTAATAACTCACACTGGAGAGAAGCCTTGCATGTGCGCTCACCGTGGAAAGGGTTTCACAAACAAAAGAACTCTTAAGGTTCACATGATAATTCACACAGGAGAGAGGCCTTTCGCCTGCCTTGAGTGTGGACAGAGTTTCAAATTGAAAGCATCCCTTCAGACTCACATGAGACCCAATGTGTGGAAAGAGTTGCAAACGTAAAGGAAACCTTAAGCTTCACATGAGGCTTCACACTGGAGAGAGACCTTAAATGTGTACTCCGTGTATCCTTTTGATCAGGAATGGGCAAACTGTTTTGTAAATCCTATGCATTCTTCAAGATATGGACAGTTTTCAGCTCTGGTATTGGTCCATTTAATATAGTATATTTTGTTAGGGAACAGTCTCTGGCTTGCCTTGTTTTTAAAAGGGAGCTTGTTGTTGTTAAAATTGAACAAAATTAAATTATTGAGCAAGTACATAAAACTGTCACCTCATTTTAGGCCGATTCACATCAGTGATAATTATTTATTATTTGAGCTGCTGGGTCAGATTTTGCAGAAAATGTCTTGCGCAAAGATGAATGGCATAAAACGGTAAAAATGGTCCATAAACCGAGAGAAGCTTCTCTGTCTATTACAGCATGTAATTATAATTCAATTCAATTTTTTCAATTCAAGTTTATTTGTATAGCGCTTTTCACGATATACAAATCGCTGCAAAGCAGCTTTACAGGAAATTAAGTTTCTGTGTCAGTGTCAGTGGTGACTACGTCAAATTGATGTACATATGGCAGAAATATACAGTAAAATTCAGTTAAAGACATATTAAAACAGACGATGAGCACTATTAACAGCAATTATTATATGATGCAATCAAACTTATAGCAAAATGTGGTAGTTCTGTATGTTGTTTCAGGGTTGGCATCATCTGAGGTCCTCTGAGGGAGTTGCATCATCTCTTCTCAGGTGTTCTGGATCCAAACTGAAGCTTGTGTAAATCCTAGTAACCACGGGATGCCAATCCCAGCAGAAACAGAGAAACACATAAGAGACATAATTAGGGTAGCTACTGTTCCAACTAAGTAAAATTGATTTGTTTAACCCAAACTAAAGAATAATAATGTGCATTTGATCAGATATGACTGCAGTACAAGATTATGAGATGCATTATTTGAATGCTTGGCCAAAGAGATGTCTTTAATCTAGATTTAAACAGAGAGAGTGTGTCTGAACCCCGAACGGTATCAGGAAGGCTATTCCAGAGTTTGGGAGCCAAATGCGACAAAGCTCTACCTCCTTTAGTGGACTTTGCTATCCTAGGTACTACCAAAAGTCCAGAGTTTTGCGACCTTAGGGAGCGTGATGGATTGTAGCGTGGAAGAAGACTAGTTAGGTACGCAGGAGCTAACCCATTAAGGGCCTTATAGGTAATCTGTCTTATTCGAATTTAATAGGACAAAATTATTGGTCATCTTTTACATATTTAACATACTTTGTTAGTTTAGATAATTTAGAAGTTTCATCTGGTCTTGTTGAGATATATAGTTGAGTATCATCGGCATAACAGTGGAAACTAATCCCGTATTTTCTAATAATATTACCAAGGGGCAACATGCATATCGAAAATAGCAGAGGACCTAGGACAGATCCTTGTGGCACTCCATATTTTACTGGTGATATTTGAGATGACTCCCCATTTAAATAAACAAAATTGAAGCGATCGGACAGGTAGGATCTAAACCATCTTAAAGCCTGCCCTTGAATACCTGTATAGTTTTGTAATCGATCTATGAGTATATCATGGTCTATGGCAGGGGTCGGGAACTTTTTTTGACCAAAGAGACAATTTTTTTATTTTTGGTTAATGCATTTTTTCCAAAAGAGCCTCTCTCTCTCTATATATATATATATAGTTTAATATTATATAAAATGCATGTTTTTTTCAATAACATTTTAATAATAGTACATTTTTGGACCATGGAAACTAAAATACACAAATATGCAACTAACCGTCAAAAATTGTGCATGGCTTTTACTGTGAGGTTGATTTACAGGGGGATGAATTATCTTCAGAGTTCTCTCTCTCTCTTTCTATGTGTGTGTGTGTGTGTGTGAGAGAGAGAGAGAGAGAGAGACTCGAGTGAGTGAAGAATAATGCACAGTGCATGTTGACCGTATTTATGTGAATACACACCAGTGCAGGCATTTTGACACTCCGTGTTTTGACTGTTTTAGGACCTCGCGCGCCAAAAACATGCAGTCAGAAGCGGATTAAGTTCCATTTCGCGGCTTTAAGTTTTTAATACTGTCTGCCTTCAAGAATGTCCCGCTCTTTACTGTCTCATTCATTCACGTTCCTTTATTAATAACGCTAACAGTCCCACCCGCTGAAAGCTGCGCGGAAAAAGTCAAAGTAACCAGCTAAATGTTTCATACTGGCTCTTGGCATAGGAGAACACCATCTTCTATAAAACAAAGTATGTTTCAGTCCTGTCACTTTTTTTTTTTTTTACATACTTTTAAATTTTTTCTGCTGTTTAAAAAAATCTTTCTTTTTGCTATTTCCACAAACAAGCTACATAGCAGCTTGAATCGGAGTTTATTAGCTCTACGTTATCAGTTTGCTGTCGTGACTCTCGCGAACAGCACTGAACGCGCACTTTGGCCGATACAAAAAATGTATTATTATTTTAAACCATTTATCAGCTTATGTAGGCTCTACAACAAAGGAATTGCTGATCTCTAGTGATGTCTTATTTTTGTAATAGCTCATTTGTTGGTAAAGGGTGAGAGGTCTGGCGAGCCACATGATTTTTGTCAAAGAGCCAGGTGTGGTTCCCGGCCACTGGGTTAGGGGACAGAAAATATTGTTTGGTCAGTATAAAAGTAATAGAAGTCTATGGAAAGTCACACAATTCACAGAAACAAACGTGTGTGTGTGTGTG